AGTTCCACCTTATCAAGGAGTTGCGAATTTATCCTGAGCGATTAAAAATTTACCTCAGAATGTCAGTGGGAAAGTTTGATGCTTTGCTAGCGATTCTGGAGCCACATATTAAAAACAAGACCACCAATTTCCGTGAACCAATTGATTCTGAACGGAGACTGGCAGTGTGTCTGGTATGGACCAGGTATGGACACACACACACACACACACCCCCACGCGCGGCCCAGTTGTGTGTGTTATTGTGTATATGCTAGGCTGTTATTGTGTATATATTGTGTATATATTGTGCCCAAATAATACATTAGTTATCGAATAGGCTGCTCAATCACACCTTATTCGATCCTAAATTTCAATCTGATTGAAAGGGGAGGTTTATTAATTTCATAATCCAATATAGAGAAGAGAACATAAACACTTGATCGAATTGAAAACCGAAACTGAAAGCACGGCGCATACGTGCAATGATTTGAGAACGAGCTCCCCCGGCCCTGAATTGTCAAAAGACCTCTCAAAATGCTGGCCCTGGATGCCAAAAACGCAGAAAATCAAACCCGATCCGATTAATTTTATGACGGACGAAAGTTTCGGAGGCGGTGTGCAAGCGTGACTGATATAACGTGAGGTCAAATTTTTTTTTTAACGTGCGAAAATTTCGGATGCGAATTTCGGACTCAGTGTGCAACGGCCTTTAGAGTGTACAACAAACGGCTGGTAGGGACTACAATGAGCTTCTTCATAGGTTTAGTGACATCACTAACACTAAAATTTACATAAACACCACCCCTGGGAACGAGATTTATAGATTATCATGACAGAATATGCTAATCAATGACTAAAAGAAGGGTAACAAAACCTTAAAACAAATTGTTTGTCATTTAGTGTGTTTTAATTCTATAATATATGATGTAAAAACGCCAGTGCTGCCCTCTGCCTGATATGTGGCTACTGCAGTTGAATTTTCCTATTGGCAGTTGTGGTGCCCTGTGATGTAAGCAGGCACCAGCTAACCACGCCCTTGCCAACAGAGAGACCCCTCTCAAGTGCACCCCCCCCCCCCTCGCGCACCAGAGCGATTACAGAGAGGTATCAACTTGTCTTAGTTAAGGGAATAACATAGTTTAATATGAAAAAACGCTGGAGTGTCCCTTTAATATATTCATGAAACATGAAGCATTCGCTTAGCAACATCCATATTGGAATCTATTGTGATTGGAGTCTCCCGTGAGAAGCAGTGCATGTGAGTTCCTACGGCACATTTCAAATCATTCACTTTCAGTAGAGGTTCCGTCTATTTTCTATTGGATTCTCAAAACAGACACTGGCCTTGTGATATGATCACTGGATTTAATGGACAATATGCTATGAATTATTCCCCTAGACTACATTTCTTTCGATAAACCCTCAACCACATCTCTCTACCGGCCTATTTTATTTTACTTCTAATCCCAATTCACATTACTAACTGTGGCATTTTTGTTTTAACAAAGACTCAAATGGAAAGCAAGGTGCAACTAAAGAATATCCAGATGCCATGCAGATATAAGAAATATGTCAATGCACGGTGATGGTCGCTACTCATCAAAAAAGGACAAAAGAAGAAGGAATAAACTGAGCGGTACAACAAGGAACCCTAAAATAATCCTCTTTGCTATCCTGATCTTGTAAGCCATGACTTCACTAGTATAAAAACCTTGATGTGCGACACATCGGAACCTGATGGCATGAGAGGCTATAACAGAGAAATGATAGCTGAAGCCGGCGATCCGTCTGACATCTTTGACACCCTAGCTTGCAAAGCAGATCCAAAGTGAAATGTTCATTCTGCCATCTGAGATGCTTGATAAGATTGCACGTTAATGACATATCAACCAGAAGACCAGATTGACTGCCAGACATTTCTAGGTGATTTAGAGATTAAAGGATCAATCTCCATTACAGATCTGTGCCTGAGGAAAGGAGTGCAGACATTTCTGTTTTTATCATCAGCAATACACTACATCACTTCTGTCCACCTTATTCCTGAAAACACTTTTTGTGAAAACAATCTTTTGACCAATGATGTCATACAAACACGCAAAAGCATGGGACACATATCCTCTGCAGACTAAGGGCCCTATTTAAGTACATGCGAAACGCAAGTAACTTTGTGAGTGGATCTTGGGCATTGTTGCTATAATACCGGTTCACAGCCGAGGAGACCGACGTTTTAGTCATGGCCGTAAAAGATAGAGAAGTGACATTGTATAGGGATGGGAGAAACCCACCCCAATTAGCTTCACTGTGCGTCGGGTGCAAAATAGGAATGACACATGCGTCGGTGTACAAAGTCAATTGCGCTAAGTGCAAGATAGACAGGTGCACACTGTACGATGGCCGTCTGAGACAAATTTTACAAATCCTAAAAGATTCCTCTTATCCTAGGCTAAAATCTGCAATCTTGGATCGCTAGTAGTGTGACGTGTTCGCGACGGTAAATAAATGACCACTATGATCAAATTTTACCTCAGATGAAAATCTGGCAGTGTCCACTTTCTCCAAAACAAAACATCATCATTGTTTTTTTTTTTTTTTCAACATTAACACTAGAAATTGTTTTTCTTTACTAGCCACCATTTCAATCATGTAATGCAGCTCATAGTCACCAAACGTGCCACAGATTAATAATGTAAAACTTTGTATGAGTTTTTGTGCGTGTGTCTGGTTTTTTTTTTTTTACAGTCTGACATTAATGACAACTGAGATCCTACAGTGTGACATGACTTACAATGGGGGTCATGTTCATACATTCTGATGGGTTTTTGTATTAAAAATATCCATATTTAAAACTTTAAAACTACATCACTGGCTTTCAGAAATGACCATACGCACGTTCACGGTAGAGTCCGGTAGAAGGGTGACCTCTAAATGTTTAAATTGTTCATACAAAAACCCATTGTGTCGCTTCAGATGGATGGATGTGCTTTTTGGAGCTTCAAACACTTTGAAAATTGAGGGAACATGGACACTATTCAATGCTATTACAAAGTTAAGAGCCAGGATATTATTTATTATACCTCGGCTGAAAGAAGAAAGTCATATAGACGTAGGATGGCTTAAGGGTTATAGTACATGATGGGATACTTTTCATTTTCATTTTGGGTAGCGATAATCTTTGCCCTGCAATTACAGACTGTCGTTACATGGCCAGTGGCCTGAAGTCCCTATATAAAAGCTTGCACTGACAATGAACTGAAGCAGCTGAAGATAATCAGAAATCAAAATAAAAGTAGGGGTCTCCTCTGCTGACGTGGAACCACAAGAGCTTTCAGGATAAAAATGTAAAGGGCTCCATGGATCTAGTAATCCAGTTTCATGGCTGGTTTGCCATTTAATTGGGTACAGTATTTGAAATTTTAAAAACATATTTGCTCGCTATTTCTACACTCACAAGCAGACGATGGACTATTTAATAAATTACTGTAAGCTGAAATAAAGGAGGCAGAGCTGGGAAAATAGAGAGGAGAGGGGAAAACGACATGCAAGAACTAGATGTTTACAGTTTTGGAAGAAAAAGTGAAAAAAAAAAGAGTTCTAGCCTGTGCAAAACTCACTGCTAAGATGCTAGAGTGTGTAGATGGGCACCAAGACATGGCAGTTGCTGAGTGCTTGTAATTATGTTGCTATGTGGTTGTGGGGCCATTCTGAGCGTTTATCATTGCGTTGCTACGTGTGTGGTTGCTAAGGTATTCTGAGTAGTTGTTATTGGGTTGCTATGCGGTTGCTGGGATGTTCTGAGTGGTTGTTATCACGTTGCTGGGGTGTTCTGTGCAGTTGTCAGTGTGTTGCTATGTATGCAGTTGCTAAGGTGTTCTGAGTGAATGTTAATGTGATGCTATGGGGTGTACTGATTGGTTGTTATTGCATTGCTATGCGGGTGCTTGTATGTTCTGAATGGTTGTCATTATGTTGCTATGGGGTTGCTGAAGTTTTCTGAGTGGTTGTTAATGCATTTACAGTATATGCAGTTGCTGATGTCTTGATTTCTTACACTCAAAAACAGCTAGATGGAGTGGATAGAAAAATTAGAATTTCTTAAAGTTGGCAAGCCATCTTAAAAACAACAACAGTCATGGTAGACAAGAAAGAGCATGCTAAATGAAACACCATCGCTTAACCTTTTCCCCACCATTGACATTTTGTTATAGGGGGTGCTGTTATGCATCTTCAAAAATAGTACAGAATCCCAGAATCCAAAATTAAGCAAAGAAGAAGCTTAGAAGATTGCTTACACACATGTAAGCTACTGTGATCACCAAACATTCAACAGCATTTAAATCAAAACTGCCTAATGTTACCGATTGAAATGTCAAATCCATAAAGAGATATAGGACTGCGCAAGCTTTGTTGATGGACTCGATTTACTTGATCTATGTTTTGACCATCATTCTGATCTGTTCTGGACAAAGCCTTTGATAAAAATGATATTTTCTCAGCTTTTTGTTCAAAATGTTGCTTACCTACATTCAAGTGTTGATAAAAAAAAGCACAAAGCTAGTATAGTTTATTTCACCCTGTTCTGTCTTTTGATGTATTTAATGTTCAGATATTCACACAACAAAATATCCTGGGGGCCATTTAAGTGTTGTGAAAATGATAACTAGAAAAATGAAATAAGTACAATAGGAAAAAAAAAGAAAGAAAGATAAATCCATCTACTAAAATGTAGTAAATCTCACAAGGCAAACTGACCCCAAAACTCAGTCCAAGCCCTGTATCCAGCTCTACAAAGGATTTTGTAGACCCAGCTGTGACTCTAAAATACTGATAAAAGAATCAATACATGCCTTCCCGACCTACTACTAATGCAGGTTGATGATCTGTAACATATTCTTTAAAAAAAGCCACTCATGAACAACACTTAATGCAATGCTTACAGAGCTTAGACATACAGTAAACAGAAAACACTGATCCCAAAGCTGAGGGATTACACATTGCAAAAGAAGTACAAAATCAGATATTACCTTTGAAAGGTCACCCACTTCCAAATAAAAACAGATGATGAAGACATTCCAGGCGACCCACAGCACCAACCAAACCGCATACTGTAAAAAAGACAAGAACATGGTATTTGAAAGATCCATTTCAACCTCAACCGCCAACAACCACCTAACCAAATAAACATTTGCATATGTGTGATTAATTGGCGTAAGGGGGATATTTTCTCTGTAATTAATTCTCCGATGTGTCTTCCTTACAACATTCTGCCTCCACAAATCTAGAATCTGCCAAAGAAGCGATACAGGCAGGCGATGCATTTCACAGTGGAAGCAAGAGCCCTGTGTGGGAGTTTGTGAAGGTGGCTCGTTCCCCGGTTCACGAGTTAACGCTTATCGAAATAGCGGGATGTGATTATGAAGCATATTCCCCAGCAAAATTGTAGCCGTCGCAGGGGGGTGTCTCTGAAAATGAAGTGAATTTTTGTTAAATAAACACAGGTCGCATCCCATTTCGCATCATTAGGGAATGCAGCAAACTGCTATTATGTTAAACGAATTTGTTCAAAAGACGAGAGTAGCTGAATTTGCTCATGAGCATTAGCAGCTCGTAGCATGTTTTTACTGATTAAAATGTGAGAGGTAGGCTACGCTGCGTGAGAACTCAGAGGACTCTTAGGCAGGCAGTGATCTTTAGATAAAATAACACTTATCTGATCCAATTCAAAGTGAGACAGGTGAGTACAAATGAAATACTGAGCGAGGGGAAATGCAAAATCAATCTGAATTACCTGATGGGACTTGAGCGGAAAAACTCGGCCTTTAACGCTGGAAAATGAGCAGTTAGCGACATGCATTTCGAGTAGCTCCCCAAAAGTGGCTCTAATAGATAAATCAATATGGACTTAGCTTTGATAAAAATGAGCATGTGCAAAGACACTTCAACCTCCCGTTACAAATGTACTACCTCTCCGCTAGGATTGTGCACCATTCACAATTGAACTAAAAATGTCTGCTAAATTTTTAATTCAACGTCTGGAATTAAACTGAGCTACATCATGCCGAATTTGAAAGCAATAAATCATAATTAAAATTCAAAGAGATTCATATCACTAATTTTTAACAAGAAAAGCAAAGATAGTCACACTTTGTATGTTGGCTAAAGTCTCTGTTTTGAAAAATAAGTTTTAACAAACTTTCAACTGTGGAGATGTTTATGCAGACAGACTATAGAGCAATTCACGGCTGGATGGATGGATGGATGGATGGATGGGTGGGTGGGTGGGTGGGTGGGTGGGTGGATGGATGGATGGATGGATGGATGGATGGATGGATGGATGGATGGATGGATGGATGGATGGATGGATGGATGGATGGATGGATGGATGGATGGATGGATGGATGGATGGATGGATGGATGGATGGATGGATGGATGGATGGATGGATGGATGGATGGATGGATGGATGGATGGATGGATGGATGGATGGATGGATGGATGGATAGATAGATAGATAGATAGATAGATAGATAGATAGATAGATAGATAGATAGATAGATAGATAGATAGATAGATAGATAGATAGATAGATAGATAGATAGATAGATAGATAGATAGATAGATAGATAGATAGATAGATAGATAGATAGATAGTTTGTCGATGATACCCACCAATAAAATAAAAAAGCTTTGATAATGAAAAGCTAAATAACTTAAAAACTAACAATACTGAGAGAAATAGTTAAACTAATTGTAACAAAGCAACTGCTCAATACATCTTAGGTGCAAACAATCCTCCAGCTCTTTATTAAGTCTTACACATGATTCGTTGCTGAATCTAGTCATTATGATTTTCAAGTTGAGCATTATTGCAGCCATTTATTAAACCTGACCTTGTACAAGAGGGTTGACTCTTCATGGTCAACCCTTGCGATGTAGCTGTTCTTTATTTACAGATTTGCAGTTAAATATGCAAAGAATCGTGAGCGCCTCAGGCTAGGGGCAAAGATCAACACATCATGATTGTCTTCCAACTAGAATGTGGCTGATGTGTCTCCTGTCTTCCATGCTCTGCTGTATAAGGCGCCTCCTCCGCATGTTAGAGCAGGAAGGGGCCTAGATGGAGCGATTGACTTCAATTAAGTCTCATAATCCCGCTTGATATCTCTTACACGCATTGGAGTTGATCCGAAGGGAGGAGGTTTTGAACGCGTTCTTGACGAGGGCTGTTTGAGCCTAACCTTTCCCCACAAACAGAGCGCACCAGACCGTTGTGTCTCGGAGAGTGGAGGAATTTCACCATCTTGAAATCTGACGTGTTGTCAGGACATTAGATACAGAAGATGTGGGCATGTAGTGGAACCTCATTTGGCCATTTGCCAGCCACTGGAACGTGCCAAGTTGAATTAGAATAAAAATTTATCTGGCCTGACAGCATCCCCAAAACAGATATAAGCAAGAGTAATGCTCAAATGTGAGCAATTTATCTCTGTAGGAGACTCTCTCTCCATCTCTCTGGCCAGCCACTGCTCCTTGACTGAAAAAAATCGAGCTTTGTTTATTCCAAAGGGAGACACATAACACTAAAAAAGGCAATCTGTTTCATCTCAACTGGGTGACATGGTCCGAGTCACATTTGAGTCAATGACCCGGTCCGTCAGAACATTGATATCTCTCTGTTCCGCTGGCCAGGGTGTTAAATGTCCATTGTACCCGATTGTAGAGAAAGCTGTCACAACATGCGGTCTAATCTCATCCATGCTGAACAACTGTTTTTTCCACAAAACCATATATTAGGTATAACTTGCTTGATGGACTGGATAAAAATATAAATCATGTGTAACACTGTCTAACACCATGTCTACACTGGATGCGAGCGGCCAACGGAATCCATTATAATCAGCGCTTCTGTCTACACTGGATGCAGCGTGATGCAATGAGTCATCGAGTGTAAATTGATGCCTGCTTCTATTTCTGATGTGTCACAACAATCTTCGCTCCCAGTATAGACATTGTGTAAGGGTGTTTCATGATTTATTTGATTCAGAACCAGATGCATTTTCTCCCAATTTATTTGGCCATACATTAACACAGCAATCAATCAAACCTGCAGCAGAAAAGTTGGACCAAAACTACCTTAAGGAATACAAAATAAGAGAAAGAAAGCGACAATAAATCCATTGAGCTTTAGATATAAAGACATTCTGACCAATAAAGGGACAATTTTCTCACATCCCTCCTGAAAAAACAAAACAACAACAACAAAAAAAATCTTAAAACCAGCCTAAATCAGTTGCCTTGTTTTACACAGGTGTTACACAGCACTTTTCAGCTGGTCAGATGCATCCTCACCACTTTTTGCCACTTTTTGAGCTTTTCGCTCATCACAGTTGCAAAATGTTAGGACAAAAACATATCATATGGAACATATTTGCCTGGCTAGGACTCAAAGCGGGACAGTTTTATGACACCAGTGGTATTAATAAACAAAATGACAGCATAACCTGCAGGGGCGAAAAAGAATATGTCAGAAACAGAATATGAAATTATATGTCAACTCACCATGGTCACATATCGCGGTCTGAACTGTACGGTTCCAAAGAGTCCTAGAATCACTGTGATGATGTGGACAAAGTTTGTGAGGATTGGAGCCCACTGGTATCCAAGGAAATCAAATATCTGTCGCTCCAAGATGCTGATCTGGAAACGAGAAACAGAGGAAAAAGCATAAACAAAGACAATATATTGATATTTATTAGCATAAAGGCGTAAACAGATTTCTAGCCATCGGGGGGGCGCTTCATGACGACACCCTGATGCCAGCTGGAAGGCAGGGAGAGATGACGGACTGCCAAGCCACATGTGAAAGCACACAGCCTACAGGAAGCCAGAGGAATACCCCTGTCACACAGGCAATTAATTAGGACTGAGACGTGCCACTCTCCGGAGTCAAACCCCCACCCTTCCACAAAAACCAGAGTTGACTTGGAAATTAAAGCTGGCAAGTCCAGCCTCGGAGCTCTGGGTGCTCCAATCTCAGCCACTGATTGGACATGACACTGATGTCAATACCACAAGCTATGGCACTTCCAAAAGCGGACCAGTGCAGGGTTATGGTTTTATCCCCGAGGGACCTACAAGCAGCCAGCCTCAGAAAGCTAATGCTAATATAACCCGTGTCTCCAGCTACATTCACCAACAGGCACGAGAAGCCTTTAACAACATGCTCAGATGCTCAAGGTCTTTTCTGGAAAGGAAACCAAGCAAAAATCTCGCCATTGAATCATCCGCTTTGCGGCATGATGTAACAGAGGATAGTAAGGAGCAAAGCGCCAAGATGAAGGTTGAAAATGCAGCCGCTGAAAACACGAATGTCATTGTGACCTCAATATATTCATTTAACAAACAACCTCTCAAGTGAACATCAATAGAGGATTCAATAGCAGCATGAATATCAAATGACTTAAAGTTGCACAGAGATGCTATGAGTGTTTCCTACTGGGTGATGTTTTTACAGCGGGGAGACCCTGTTCAACACTGCAGTCCATCCAGCGGATCAAATATATCCGTTTTTGTGAGAAAAACAATTGAAGATTCACTTCATTACTAAAATCTTGAATCGTTTGGAATTACAAAAACGAATCATGGTTAATTTAAAGGGGTCTTTTGACATATACGGGTCAGTTCACACAGAACTTTAATATAGCAACATTCATAGTTTCTAAAAAAAAAGTTGAACAAATCTTAGTCAAAAGGGAACCAATTTCTAAAACTAAACGTCATACGAGCACTATTACCAATTTGAGTTTCACAAACCTTTCACAAAACAGTTCTTGCTTTGACAGATATGAATAAAAACAAAGTCCCGTGGTTCACTAAGCGAATCAGAAGTTAATTCAGTAACCACTTTAGCAGGTTTAGTGATTCATTCAGTGAAGGATTTGTGGGACTCACAACTTATTAAAATATAATTTACAAAGGCGCTGTAGATTGCATGACAGTGAAGGAAACACTGTTCTTTGTAATTGAGCAGTAGTTCATGCTATAAATCTATCAACAGTAGACAAAGCTCAGGAGTCTATTAATCTGTGCATCTTGTCCATGCAGTTCTGCCCATCCCCTGCTCTCCCCGAGGGACGTGTCTTCTGTTGTCTGGTCGTTTTTCCGAGCTTCTGCTAGCATACATCTGGTGAGCGTGTCTGTCCCAAACACTTAAGTCTTCGATCATAATGAAAGGTATTATCCTGACAACACCAAGCAACACCAGCACAGTTCACACAAGTTTTTTGATTAAGAATCTTCACAGCTCTGGGGTGCAGATGAGATTCGTTTTGTGTCAGAATAAAAGTAGTTCCCTTTCCAAATTTCACCTACTTTTTTTTTCTTTTTTACCACAATTATGTTTTGCCTTCCCTTTCAGCTTTCAGTGGCATGTGATTTCCCCCTGCACTAGCTCTTGTTTATTTTCACTGTCCTCCATATTTCCTTTATGAAACAGATGGATGAAAAGACAAAAGCATTACCATCTGTTTTCTTGAAGGAATAGTTCATAAAAGAATATTCTGTCATTATTTACTTTGTTCATTTATTTTGTTTAAAATATACAAATTTTCTGAAACACAAAAGACATTATTCTGGTTGCTCTTTTTTATGAAATGGCATGGGAACTCAGGTTCTCAATCTTCTAAAAAGGACACCAGCAACTCGTGCACTATATTTCAAGTCTTCTGAAGTCACACACAATAACATTATGACGAACAGACCAGAAATTGTGAAGATGTGCTGTAACTCGGTTAAAACGTTGAAATCTGATAGCTCACTTTTGAAGGTTCTTAAAAGTTTATGAGAGAAGTAGCGATTTGTGAATAAATCATTTTTGAGAGTCAAATCTTTCCAATAAATAGACAGATCGGTCTGAATGATTCGTTCATGAAATGGACTGAACAAATTCGATAACTCCATAGAGCCGGAGGGAATAACAGCTCGCTAGGGAAAGATTATTAGTTAATAATTAGGCAACTCAAATATTAAAAAGAAAATTGCATATACAGAAAAAGGGACGAAGCCTGATTGACTTGCATTAGTTGTTGAAACTCGCAATTACGGTAAGGGGTGTGAAATTTCCAAAACATATTCCAAGCAATTGACCAATCACAACACACTGGTTTAGTCAACCAATCAGAGCACATTGCACTTTTCGGTTTAGTCAACACACTGGTTTAGTCAACCAATCAGAGCACATTGCACTTTTCGGTTTAGTCAACACACTGGTTTAGTCAACCAATCAGAGCACATTGCACTTTTCGGTTTAGTCAACACACTGGTTTAGTCAACCAATCAGAGCACATTGCACTTTTCGGAAGGAGTGGCTTCAAAGAGACAAGAACTAAACAGGGGTGCATTTCCCGAAAGCATCGTTAGCCAACTATGGTCGCAAGTTCCGTCGTTATCAGCATACAGTAGTTTAACGAGTCGGTGTTTCCCGAAACCATCGTTCCAACGAACATTCGCAAACAGCATCGCAAAGTTGTGTGGTTTGAACGACAGCTCTCGACCTATGGTTAGAGGCATCGTTTCTATATTGCATCACATTTGGAGGTAATAAATCCTTATCTTGAGCAAAATAAGCAAGCTGACATTCAGTACAACCGGTGTCTTTTATTTAGAATACTTACATATGGAATTTACGTCTTTTAGTTTGTCAAAAGATTTGAAGTAACGCGTTTGAAGAGTGCGCATGTGCGAACGTGCATACTATGTAAGAACGAGCCAAATATTGAGTCTGGTAATAAAGCAAAACAACTGAGAACAATTAGAAATAGTCCTCAATTGACATGTCTGTAATTTATATAAAACAAATCTAGCGGTAATTGGATCTCAAACAGTTTCATTAAAAGTAGTTATACTCCACCACGTGCGAAACCGAATGATACTTTGCGACAGTGGGTTTCGGGAAACAGTCGTAACTAGGTAGTTGATTTTTCCAATGATGGATCGTACTATGGTAGTGAATCAGCGAACTACGTCGTTGTAAGGGAAACGCACCCCAGAGCATTACTGACAGTGTGGAAAGAGAGGTGCTGCAACAATGTAAAATATGTAAACAATAATCAGTTTTTTGAACATTCAAGAATGAAACCCCTTTCGAGTGGACCCCAAAAACAAAATCAAGACATTGTAAAAGAGCAGAATATGGCCTTTTAAAGTTTCAAGGTCTAATTTTGATACCTTGAATCGTGCGTTTACTGCTTTTTGATGCATGAAAGGATCAGTTTCCATTATAGCATGGAAAAGAGCGACTAGTACAATTCTTCAAACATTCTGCTTTTATGTTCCAGGGAAGAACGAAAAGTACAAATTTGAAAAAACTTCAGGATGAATATACAAAAATATTGGCTGGGGTACTTGTTTAATAGGTTGTTTTCCATTATCCAAAAAAAAAAAAAAAAATGAGCCAGAGAGCATGATTGCACCTCATTCGATCCATAATACCTTTAATACCATTATCAAAAGCTCTTCCAACGAGCCATGTATCATACCAATTCTCAGAAGCTCTGTTCGGCCATAGTTGTGCAGCAACTAAGCACACAGAAAAAAAAAATGACTGACCTGACAAAGTGGTTCCATTGCTTTAGCAAATCAAGTAACAAACCACAATGCCATGGTTTTGAAGGGAGACCATATGTCAGCACAAAATACAAAAGCCTCCCTGCGAATAGGTTGCAAAATGCAAATATGGCTAATTACGTTATATTCTGTTGTTTGGTGAAAGATGGTGTCTTGACAATTGCTTTTGTAGACACCTGCGCTTATTGACAGAATTCCCAAAAGAGCCCTGGCATTAATATGCATGTCCAATGGGGGGAGAAAACCTAAAGGGATTTTATGGGGAGGTTGCAAGCTCTTGTTTGAGGTGTGGGCCGAGATCCCCATTAATGTGGTCCCTGGGCCCCCTTTCATATAAACAGTGATGTAAACAGCACGGTGATGATGTGTTACGATACATTTGTACACATAAAGAAGAGCTGATCATCCACGCTGTGCCGTGCCGAGGCACAACTCACGTAAAGTTGATAATAGAGGCCTGCATTTCAGCCCGAGCCCGACGGGCCCCGACTTATTTACACTCCTCGGGCCGGGCTTCGGGCCAATTTTAACGTCATAGTTCACACGCAGGCCGGGCCTCGGGCCTGTTTTAGGCTTATCTTTTTTATAGCCTATTTTAGATATTACTTAAAATAAAATATGAGAAGATGACTATTGAAAAGCAAACATAGAAAGACGTTTTATAACCTATTATACTGACATATATGACTGACAGTCTGCTCACGGCACGCACACGCGCACACAGGTTTCCCGGCAACGCGATCCGCGTGACCGGCTCGTTCTCTGTTTAGTGTCCCGCCAGCAGCAGAAGTAGTGAGCGTGACTTCAGCGCAGCTGGAAAAAGTACGACTGGATTAAAACTTTCCACGGTGGATGGTGCTTTTTCTGCACGATGCTCTGTAAGAGACTGTTTAGGAGGTTGTCTTGTTTTTTGTTTGATTGGACTTTAGTTTCATGAGTCTGTTGGAAACTTTTGGAAATACGAATGGCATGTTCTGTAGTGAAGACTTGATTTTTGAGGTAAGATAACCTGCATGTTTGTTTTTAATGTAGGGCCTAATTTATTTGATTTGTTTAGATTGCATTCTCTGTAT